TGTTGTGTTTTTTGTTTTTTTGTTTTTTGAGATAACGTTTCATTTAAGTGGGGTTCAAAGTTAGTGTTTCCTATCAGGTCAGTTGTGAATGTTCATCTGTAAAAATCATTTTTAACTCATGGCCCAAAAAGACAGTGAGCAGATTTGACCTGTGGGCCATAGTTGCTGACCCCTGAACTTTGCCCAAATTAGTGCAAACTCCTCCACAGTACAGTTCCAAATATTTTTCCAACTTTAATTGTTGCTGTTTGCATGAATTTTTTTCCACCCGACTGGATTACTGGTATTTCTTGGACATTCTCCGATTTCTGAGGCTTTTAATAATTAGTACTCTGAAAAAAAAAATTAGTACTCTGTTCTAATTCTGGTGTAACTAGAATATTGTAATAAAAACATAATATGTAGTTCCAAATTTTTCCTAAAGTCAGTTTTGAATGTTTAGAGAGCTAGTGCTCAATAATGATGATGATGATGGCTAACACTTACTCATTACTTTTAAGGGTCAGGCACTGTGCTAAGGACTTCTTATGTATTATCTCATTTAATCCTTATAGCAACTCATTTTATAGATAAGGAAACTGAGGCACAGAGTGGTTTAGTAATGATCCAAAGTCATAAAGGTAGTAAGGATTGAACTGTAAAACAGCCTGATTCCTGAGCTGATTGTCTTAACTATTGTTAAGCAGCATTACCTCCCTTGTATACTAATAATTTATGTTATACTTTTGGCCCCTTTGCAGAGCCCCTTCTCTTCTTTTAATCTAACTTTATTTGTGAAAGAATCATAATCAGTTCTTTTCAACAGACATAAGGACTCATGAAAACATATATGAGGTGATAGGATTGGATGGTATTATGAGCAGATATGAAGTCAGTGGCTTTCCCACTATGTAGGCTTTACATTAGAGGTACTTTTTACACCATGCTCTTGATAGCTTTTATTCTATTTTGTTTAAAAAATGTTGGTTTTGACCCACTAAACTGATTTTATAGCGAGTCTCAACCTGCAGATTGAAACATTTCATTAAACATTTAGGTACTTAAAGTCTATTGTTTGTGTTCAGTTACAAAGAAAACTGCTTATATGAGACTGTTGCTTTCTAAAGGAACAAAATCTCTAGAGACCAGCATTTTTTTTAATGTAAAAAATGCGCTACATGAATTCCCTAATAAGAAAATAATTTTTGCTGAAGAAGAAAGGAGCACCAAAGCCCCGACAGATGATACCACACAGACTACCTACTACATGGATGGCCTTCTTTAGACAAGGAAAAACAGAATATTTTCATTGGCTGATGGTGCTTGTGAAAGATCGACTTTATTGTTGGAATGTGGAGGAGACTAAAGAACAGAAATTTAGAAAGTGAGGTAGGGGAGATAGTGGGAAAGCACCAGTGGCTGCTGAAGTTGTTTCCTATGTTTAGGTAATGAGCTATAGACAGAGACAGTATAGTTCTTTGACTCACTAGAACAATTTGTTTGTCTTTTTAGTATATTATTTCACTGAATTATTTAAAGTCTCTTTTTACAGCTAGACTGTGAGCTCCTTGAGGGCAGAGATCTAGATGTATACAAATTTATATCTCTAGCATCTAGTGCTGTATCTAGCCACCAGAAGCTGTTGCTACATTATAAATAGGGTATTGAAGGCACAGGATTCGGGCACTCTAGGTGTCTGCATCTCTCTCTCTCTCTCTCTCTCTCTCTCTCTCTCTCTCTTTCTCTCTTTCTCTCTTTCTCTCTCTTTCTTTCTCTCACCCCCCCACCCACACCCCCCGTATTTCAAGTAATATAATGTATAAATAGGATGTAATGAGATGTAAAAGATTAGCAAATAAATGAGAAGCCTCAGGTAAATAAATTTGATGCAAGAAGTGGTTCAAATTAGATTCCTGTGTTTAAATATATAGTTGACAATGAAGATCAAATTTATTTTGACATTAAAATTCAGTATTCTTAACAGGTCAGCAACAGTTGACTGGAGGACATACAAAGACATTTGGAAAATGCTGCCTGTACGTCAGTGAATCAACGTGCAGGTCCAGTACTATGCATTCATGTCTCAGTTAATTTATTTGCACATGATTATCTAGGATGCTTTCTTGTTGTAGCATATACCGTTTCTTTAAGAAGCTTCTTGTATAAGTTATTGCATAGTAACTACGATATATATATATATATATATATATATATATTTGATATATTAAATGTAGAGAGAAATTTTAGAGCAAAACCATTGCTACATTTAATATTTTTTTCTTCTACAGATTATCAGTTTTGTAGCTCGTAGCTTTGATAACACTGCCTTGAGAGAATCTGGGCCATTCAGTTTTTATATTGCTAACTTCAGTTTAGAAGGATTGAGGGAGCCTTCATTGAATACTGTAGTATTATAGCAACAAGCTAAATTATTCAGTCCAGTATCTTATACTACCAGCATTTTAGTTTATAGTTACATCCGAAGCATTGTATAATAAATTAAGATTATAGCAAAGAGGATGGTTCATTGGAGAACATTCCATTTAAAATAAGTGTAAAAGATTGTCAACTGTCCAGAAAACTTTTTGGTGGGAGTGGTTAATTGCTTGATAATTTTGGATAATAAAGGTTTTATTGTATCTGCTTTTGTTAAGTGTAAAAACAGAATTTGAAAGGAATGTTTTTTTCTTACTCTTTACTCCCCACATTTTATTTTGAAAAATTTCAAACCTATGGTAAAGTAGCAAGAATAGTATATTGAACACCCAAGTACCTTTTGTATAGATTCACCAATTGCTAACTAACATTTTGCTGTTTTGCTTTATCTCTCTCTGTGTATATACTTTAAGATTTTTTTGAACTATTTGAAGACTGCAGACATGATCATAATACTTTACTCCTAAATGCTTCTGCATGCAAACATTCATCTTCTAGGAATTAAACACATTCTTCTGTATAACCTTGTGATAAGATCACACCCAGGACATTGAGCATTGGCACTATACTTTAACCTGATATATACAGTCCATATTCACATTTCTCCAAGTGTCTAATCAAGTCCTTTATGCTTGTTTTTCCTGATCCATGATTGGATAAGGAACTACATATTACATTTGGTTGTTATGTCTCTAATCTGTATCACTTTCCTAAGCTTTTTCTACATCTCCTTCTTCTCCCCGCTTCTTCCTCATCCTCCTCACAATTTTAAAGGACCCAGGCCAGTTGTTTTGTAGAATGTCCCTCCATTTGGATTTATCTGATTATTTTAATTTAATTTTTTTTTCATAATTAGATTCAGGTTAAACATTTTTGGCAGGAACATTATATAGGTTTTGTGTTCTCAGTGTATAACAATTAATTTTGGTGATATGAAATATGATCATTGGTTAAGGTAGAATTTGACTCATTTCTCCATTGTAAAGGTACCTTTTCCCCTTTATAATTAATAAGTAATTTGTGGGATGATATTTTCAGATTACATGTGTATCTTGTTCCCAAACAAACTTTCCTCCAGTGATTTTAGCATTTATTGATCATTCTTGCCTGAATCAGTTATGGTAGTTGTAAAATGGTAATTTTCTGTTTCTGTTATTCCTTCTGCATTTATCATTTGACATTCTACAAAGAAGAGTTATTTCTCTCCCTCACTTAAAATTAGTGTCAGGTTAGACCCATGGCTTCTTTTTTATTCAGAGTAGTACATATTCTTGTTATTACTTCTTTTGAAACTTAAATTGTCTCATTTGGCTTGTGGGCGCCCTTTTAAACTGCCTCTCATGTTCTGTGACCTGTTCCCATCAGATTTTGAAGACCTCTTTACTTACTGGCACAAGATATTTAGCCTGACCTTGCATTTTCCTTGCCCCAGATCTGGAATCAGCCACTTCTCGCAAGGAGTTCTGATTCCTTTTAGTGTGAAATAGTATGTAGGGCATTAGGTATGTTCAGTGTTACTGGAGTTTTGCTTCTAGGTCCTAGCAGTGGACAGAAATAGCAAATACATTTTTTTTTTTTTTTAGAAGCAGGATAAAGACTTTTTTTTAAAAGATTTTTATTGGGGAGTTGGGGGATGGGAACAGTGCTGGGGAATTGGGGGAAGGGGAACAGACAAGTTGCTGTCGTTTTGCTCTTCAGTCTAGTTGTGGAGGACGTTGCTTCACTGGCCCAAGTTGGCACCATCATTGCGCTCTTCCCTGGCGAGGCAGATCACTCGCCGGCTTCTGGACAGCCGCTCACGGCGGCTGCTGGCCGCTCACGCTGGCTGCTGGCTGCACACGGTAGCCCATGGCAGCCAACTGCAGTAGGGGCTGCAGCCTACGCCGTCACCAGCGACTCACGGCAGCCCAGCTCCATGTTGAGCTGTTGTTCAGCATCTTAGCTGTAGAGGGCAGTGTCACTGGCCCTCATATGTGGGATCCGAACCAGGGCCCTCTGGCATCCCAGGCCAGCTCTTAACCAATGCGCCACTTGGCCGGCCCACAAATACATTTTTTTTTAAATGAGATTATTTCAGTATCTCTAATTCCAATCTTAACATTACAACCTTCCCCCATACCGTTCTCTCTCCTCCTGTCTCCTATAGTGAGACCCTGGTTCCCAACAACATTAATGTATTTATTCATTTATTCAGTCATATAATACATGCAAAATAGTTGCAGAATGCTGCATCAAGACCACCACTGACAACAAACTACTAAGGAAGGTTTCAGGGGTTTTTTTGGTTTTTTTTTAAACATTTCTTTGGATTTATCCTCAGACTGAATCTTGCTGTGGTTGTATAGTCATGAGCAGGTGTCAGCAAACTGATCTTGTAGTCATATGTGACCTGCCACTTGTTTTTATATGGCCCATGAACTAAGACTAACTTTTACATTTTTTAATGTTTGAAAAATAGTATTTCATAACATGAAATTATGAAAATTATATGAAATTTGAATTTCATTATCTATAGTTTTATTGAAACACAGCCATGCTTGTTCATTTGCATATTGTTTATGGCTGCTTTCATGCTACAAAGGTAGAATTGGGTAGTTGTGACAGATTGTATGGCCTGTAACACCTAAAATATTATCTGTTTGGCTCCTTACAGAAAAAGTTTGTCAGCCCTAGTCAAGAATCCTGTGTTCAACATTTACTAGGATTATTTTTTTTTTCTGTGTGGTTGTTAATGTATTTGATTTATAATTTGTTTGTTTATTCCATTTTAGGGAGAAAGGAGTTTTTTTAAATGCTGGAAATTAGAAATGATTTAATTTGAGAACTAGAAGGGAATTTAGAGATCATGTAGTCCTACACTGCCCAATAGGTCAACCCCTTCCCAAATGTGGCCATTTAAGTTTAACTTGATTTAAAAATTTTGTTAGAAACAAACTCATAGACACAGATAACAGTATGGTGGTTATCAAAGGGGACAAGGGGTAGGAGGAAGATGAAGAAGGTAAAGGGGGTCAAATATATGGTGACAAAAGGAGACTAGACTCTGGGTGGTGAGCACACAATGCAGTATACAAATGATGCATTATAGAATTGTACACTTGAAACGTATATAATATAATTAATCAATATTACCCCAATAAATTAAAAAATTTGTTAGTCATATAAGTCACATTTCAGGTGTTCAGTTGTCCCATGTGGCATGGCTACTGTATAGGACAGTGCAGGATCTATGATCAATTTTGAATTTTTCCATATGGTGCAAGGAAGGATTAAAGTTAATATTTTTTTGCATATGGTTATCCAGTTGTTTTCAGCCATCTGTTGAAATGACTGAATTGCCTTTATATCTTTGTCAAAATGTAGTTGTCCGTATATGTGTAAGTCTCATTCTGGACTCTATTTTGTTCCATTGCTCTATCTTGATGCCAATACAGCACTGTCTTGGTTTCTGTAGCTTTATAGTAAGTCTTGAAGTAAGTTTAGTTCCCTACTTTGTCTTTCTTTCTCAGAGTTTTTTAAAACTATTTTCTGTTCGAGTCCTCATTTTCATGTGAACTTTAGAATCAGTTTGTCAATTTCTACAGGAAAGCCTGCTATGCTTTTTCTTAAGATTGCATTGAATCTACAGATTATCCAACATATAAACACATTATATCTCATTTATTTTTTCTCCTTTAATTTCTCTAAGCGGTGTTTTTAAGTTTTCAGTTTAATACTATTATAACGTTATTTTAAAGTTATTCCTGATTGTTGCTAGTTTATAGAAATACAGTTAGTTTTTACATACTGTTCTTTTTTGCCTTGCTAAAATCACTTATTAGTTCTAGTACAATTCTTTTTTTCTGGATTCCCTCATGTTCTCTATGTAGATAGTATATCATCTGTAAATATTGATAGTTTTCCTTCTTCCTGTCTAATCTCAGTGACTTGTATTTCTTTTTCTTGCCTAATTGCCCTGATTCACACCTCCAGTTCAGTTCTGAGTAGAAGGGATGAGAGTGGATGGACATCCGTGTTTTGTTCCTGATATTAGGTGGAAAGCATTCAGTTATTAAAAACATTAAGTATGACATTAACTGTGTTTTCCACAGATGTGTTTTATCAGCTCAAGGAGGATCTTCCTGTCCCCTGGTTTCATTCTCTGCCTCTCATTCTGTCTTTCTTGTGCTTTCTTGGTACTGCTATAGTCATGTTATTTGTCTCTTTTTGTGACGGCCTAAACCCTATAATCTGTATTTATGGTAGTATTGAAAAATAAACTGTTTGCCATTTTGACCTTTGAAGTTAAAAGAGAGTCAGAAAGGAGAGGAGGGTTGTTACTTGGTGAGGGGTGTAAAGGATAACTATTGCATTGTTCTGTACACCTGAAGCTAATAATTAAAAAAAAAGAGAGAAAGAATGTGCTTATTTTTACTACACAGAAAACATTGTCTTAACATTAATAGGATTCTAAATATGAAACAGTTTTATCCCAGAATTTTATTCGCCAGTCACTGTGACTTTGCCCAAGTGCTTTTCTGTCTCGTACTGTATTTGTTCATAATTTTTATAGTTTCAATATCACCATATGTTCAAGTCCCTTTATTTAACATAATATGTATAAATTTTTAATATCTGTAGACAT